TATTATTATTATTATTATCAGGATGGCAGCAGCAGCAGTACACTGCAGAATGACTGGCACCCCCATAACAGCTGTCTCTTCTGTGTCCTCTGTAACATCACTATTGTCCATGTATGCAACTGTTGCCAGCTGCTCTGCCCATGCATTGCTGGGTGAGTGCCAGTGCAGGCCACATGAGTGACATGGCATCCATGATGTCTCTGCCTGTTACAGGGTGCAGGTGCACAGCGATGTCAACAGAGTTATTAAGATGACAAAGAGTACTTATTTTTTTCCTGCACATGTGCACATGTGCCTGATGGAGCAGAAAAATAATTAAAGCAGCACTATGGCTCAAAGTTGCACTTGCTGCTGCCCTGTGCATTTGCTCCATTTGCCCTCACGCTGTCCTCACAGTAGTGCATTTGGTGGGGCTTGAATACAGCTTCAGAAAAGTCGCATTCACTCCCCCCCCCCATGTGGTTGCTACTCTGCCTTCACCATGCCCTCGGAGTTGGCTGTGCCTTTTGGAATAGGCAACTTCAAGCCGCCTTTTCCTGCCTTTCTGTTTAGCCCCTAAACATGATTAGCAGTGTAAACATTTCACATTTGACTCAAGCTTGATAGTATATACTCAGATGGTTACAAAAGAGTTCCAAATTACTTATCCATTTTTCGTTTCTGTTTTAAGTGTCAGATAAGTGTGATATGGATAGTTTTATAAAGATAAATATTAAGTCTGGGAAAGTGCATAATTCATTTTTACTCCTATGACAAAATGAATTAATGGCATTTCAGCACTTCATTTCCTGGCTCTTGATCTCCAGAGCATATTGGAATGCTTACTGCCTGATAACTACTTGCTGTGAAAGGCAATCAATGAAAATACTGCTTCATGACACCAGCTTCAGCATTAAGTAATACATTATATTTTGCACAAAGATGTTCAATATACAGGAAAACACACTATCATGTGATGGGTCTGGATAGAACTAACCCTTCTCTCCCATCAAAAAAAACCCACCCAGGATTATCTGAAAAAGAAAGAAGGGTAAAATATGTGAATCAGTCCCAAGATTCCCACAGAAGCCCCAGGAGACACAGGACATTCAGAGGCTAGCTCTACATGTATAGAGCAAACCTCTGAATGTTCTGTGTCTCCTGGCAGTTAAAATGTTTCCTTCAGCCAGATAAATGTAAGTGTAAAAAATGAGATACAACGATTCTCCAACATGAGGAAGAGTTTTGTTTTGTTTCTAATTTGTAGTGTCTTTTTAAAAAAGGGTTGAAGAATATTCACAACTGGACTCACACATCTACAGTAAGAAATGATGCAATACATCTTAACTTCTTTTCTATCATTTTTTCCTACATATATAGACCAATCTGTACATGGACTTTGTTGTTCTTTTTACATTGCTGTTCTAAAGCCAAATTTACTTTTCTTTGTGTTTCTCCAGACAGTCCAATATTTCCTGCAAATGTTGGGGTATTGCAAGCAGAATTTTATATCTTCACCTTGTAATAGTAGTGTCTGCTTCCACATCCAATGATGTCCCAAACATTCTGGGTGTTGTCCTTGGTTTGTTGATGATTAGAGCAGATTTTAGCATGATCCCCAACATGCATATTTCTTTTTATCCACTTTATTTAATGATTGATTGATTTAATTTCTATCCCACCTTTCTCCCAAAAAGGGACTCCCAGTGTAGTAGCTAAGCTACCTGGCACTGTGGTGGGTCACTCATTTGTTAGGTCAGAAAGAGGTGCCCAATGATGATCCACATGGCTGAGTGCCTCAACATGCCTGTGATAGCAGCAGATGCATGTGCAGCAGATGCATGTGCAGCCTCTGTGTGGAAATGAAGGGATTCACATCTTCCTAGAAGATCTAGAGTAAAAGGTCAACTTTTTAAAAAAAAATGTGCTAAAGGAGTCATAACAGGGTCCTTGTACTGATATGTTGGATGTCATCCAGACTGTTCACAGCAGAACTGGGATATGGACCATTTGCTGACCAACCCCAGAAACAATGAGGTAAGACATAGTAATGAAACAGACACCAAAACAGGGTTGAAATTGGGCCATTTTATTAACTTGATCTATCTATTAATTTCTTAACAGAACTGCAACTAAGGGGGAATGCCTA